TCACAAATGAGGACTCGTCTGAAGCCAAGAAGAGGATGACATTCGCGATGTCAATGGATTCACCCACTCTTCCCAATGGGTAACTCTTTCCCAATGCATTCAATATGAACTCAAACTGTGGTTTTGAGAGACCCGCTGCCGTTCCGAAGTTGGTTCGCACGGCTCCCGGACTGCAACACAATTATTATATATAGAAAACCTGGTAAATAATTTTTAAAAATAATGAATTAATTACTTGACAACATTAACTCGGATGCCTTTGGGACCCAATTCAAGTGCCAGACACCGACTGAACATATCGAGAGCACTCTTTGAACAACAATATACTAAAGACTTTGCATTCTGTTGTTTTGACAAAGTTTTACAGTGTATTAGAATTGACGCAAATATTGGATGAAATACTAAAACTAATGCAATTTTATGTTAAACAATATTTACGGGTCGTATTCCAGCGACGGCTGAAACGTTGATTATATTTCCTTTGGTTTTTTCCAAGTGTTCAACCGATAGATGAGTTAAATAGACGACTGAACGTAAGTTTGTGTCCATAACCGCCTGGAATTCGTCCATAATATTTGGGTCTGATATTGATTTGAAGCCTCCTTTTGCCGCATTGTTGACCAAAATATCCAATTTTCCAAACGATTTGATTGTGGAGTCTATGAGACGCTTGCAGTCCTCATCTTTGCTGACATCCATTACAACTTCCAATGCTTTCAATCCTTTCGGCGATATTTTTTGACATTCTTTCGCCACTTTTGACACATTTTGAGCGTTTCTTCCGGTGATGACGACCTGAGCGCCCGATTTGGAGAATTGGAGGGCAGCGGCCGCTCCGATACCACTACTCGAACCCGTGATCACAACAACTTTTCCACTGAAATTATGAGAAGTTGACATTATTTTGCAAAATAACTTTCAGTGGCTTTTTTGTAATATTTAAAATAATTGTATTAATTGTATGATTAGATAAAATAAATTGAAACGACTTTTATACTAAAATCAAAACAGTCCTTAATGCACCTTGGTTTAGTACTTAATGATTTAGTACCTTGTGTATAAGTAGCATAGTCATTATCAGAATTATTAGTTTATATTCTTTAGTACGCAAACTCTACAACTTCTTAATAGTGTATTGTAATGGGAATTTAATTTATTGTATTAATTATAAGCTATTACTTATAACATAAATAAAATTATATCAATAGTATTTACCGGTACTTATCAAATAAAATTCCTAATTCATTAAAGTATGAATATTTTATAACAAAGTGTGTTTACCGCTTGATATCTGTTAATTTTATAGCCATAAAGGAGGTTGGTCAAAATTAATGTTAACTAGACAGTTATAAAAATAATTAAAGTAAAATCATTGGGCATATCGGGTTAGTCATAATACTTGTTGTTTGTATACAATAAATATGGATTCAGTTGGATTTTATTAATTAAAATTAATATTAAAAATATCTTATAATAGTTTTAATAATTACAGTACATTATAGATGAACAAAATATAGAGAATTGATTTAATTATGTTTGAGTAGATTTGGATCATAAGAAACGGGTTGAACAGAACCGCACGCATCACCGCCATCGACGAAAAAGTTGGATCCGTTCACAAATGAGCACTTGTCTGACGCCAAGAATAGGACAGCATTGGCCACATCGNTTGGATTTTATTAATTAAAATTAATATTAAAAATATCTTATAATAGTTTTAATAATTACAGTACATTATAGATGAACAAAATATAGAGAATTGATTTAATTATGTTTGAGTAGATTTGGATCATAAGAAACGGGTTGAACAGAACCGCACGCATCACCGCCATCGACGAAAAAGTTGGATCCGTTCACAAATGAGCACTTGTCTGACGCCAAGAATAGGACAGCATTGGCCACATCGATAGGCGTGCCCTGTCTTTGCATCGGAATTGACTTCTCCTGATCGGCAAACATCTGGTCAATTAATGGTCGACTCAATCCCATCGCAATCGCTATATTGGTATTGACAGCCGCGGGACTACCGATTAAACAGTCAATTAGTTTTGTTACTTAATTAACGCATTGATAAATACTTGACTGAATTGACACGAATGCCTTTTGGTCCCAATTCAAGTGCCATACATCTGGTGAACATATCGACAGCGCTTTTAGACATATTGTAGAGGAAACACATCGGAAACTAGAAATTAAAAAGTTTTTTGAATTGTAATTATTTTAATTATTCACGATTTGTGGAGTTTGCGTCTAAACTGACAATTTTACGACTGGCGACACTTGAAGTGATAATTATGTTTCCTCTCGTTTTCTCCAAGTGTTTAACCGCTAAATGTGTCAAATAGACGACTGACCGCATGTTTACGTTCATTATTTTGTCATAATTGGCCGCAATATTAATGTCATCAATAGTGGAGAATAAGCAAATGCCCGCATTGTTCACAAGAATATCAATTTTGCTAAATGTTTCAATCGTTAAATCGATAAGTCGTTTACAGTCATCATCTTTGGTGATATCTGCGACCACTTCCAGTGGTTTTAAACCATTTGGTGAGCATTGGAGACACTGTTTGGCCACTTCTGCCACTTTGTCGTCTTCAAGTCCAGTGACCACTACATGAGCGCCGGCTTTGGAGAACTGTATGGCAATCCCGGCTCCGATACCACTACTCGAACCGCTTATTATGACTACTTTCCCACTAAATTCGTTCGTTTCACTCATTTTCTAAATGATATGAACAATTTGTGTTGAGCTCTTGTATTACTCAATTAGAAATACAGTATTACTCGTGTAATCAAATATAAAAGTGTATTAACAAAATTGCTTTCAATTTAGACTTTATATACCGTAATATACAGTAATAAACATGATAATTGAGTGCATTCGCGCTTTTTAATAAATAACTTGTGCACTAAATTCTTCGTACAGACGGACTTGTTGTGTACATCTGATAAATTATACTGATTTTCAATTGACAATTGATAAAATTTATTTTAAATTTCTAAATACGGAAATGTTAATTTTTAGTTCAGCATTACATTATGTAAAGCTAAATATTATGCTTTACATAACAATAATAAAATTCTATAACAACTTATATATTTTCTTATAAAGAATTGATCATTATGTTATAATAAGAAACAATAGGAAACTCTTTCTGGGTAATTATAAGAAAATATTCAAGGTTTTGAAATAAATTATGTTATATCTGTACTTTAGTTATCAAGGTTTGCAAAATAGATTTGTGATATCGTTTGGTTCCAATAATCCATAGTAGATTAAAATTATAGTTAAAATTGATTTAGTTTATTAATTATGTTTAATGTAATTGTTATTAAAAACTGCATTTATTTGGTAATCAAATGATGAAATCATTTTGTCCATATATAATCTGGTTCGGGAGTAATCCTCACCCGAAGAGTCCAACCTATAGTAACCCTTTGGCAATTTTACCCGACGGAAAAATGAAGATGTGACAATATGATCATGAATAGTATCAGGTTACTTAGATGTTACATAGAAACTAATTATTACACAAATACTTTTGTAAATTATGGTGTAATTAAAAATTTGTGACAATAATTAGATTCCACATTTTGTCTCATCCATTGAATAACATTGCCAAAGGGTTACTATAGGTTGGACTCTTCGGGTGAGGATTACTCCCGAACCAGATTATATACGGACAAAATGATTTCATCATTTGATTACCCAATAAATGCAGTTTTTAATAACAATTACATTAAACATAATTAATAAACTAAATCAATTTTAACTATAATTTTAATTTACTATGGATTATTGGAACCAAACGATAATACAGTATATTGAGTATGTTTTCATACAGTACTCTTACCTCATGTCAAAAGCACATCAATGTTGTTGCGATCGTTTAGTCAATGTATTATCACATTATGTAATACTGTAAAAGTTGTACAAAATGTGTACATATTTTTGTCAGTTTGTCATATCATTAAATTTTTCGATTGAATTTTTGTCATATTTCTAAAATCTTTTATTTATTCTTCAAAATAAATATACTTTTTTAAGGTTTACATTAAGTTGTAGTGAAATAAAAATACTTTTATAAGAATTTCTACAATGTTTTCAAAAAAATACTGGTATTGAAATTGCATGAAATACTGGTAATTATAGTTAAACACACAAAAGTAAAATAAATAATAACCATCTTTAGGAGAGAATTGTCAATCATTTAGAGTAGAAAATCAATTGTTTAGTCTATTTTCTAACTGAATTAATGGCATCTCCAGCCCTCCATCTGCAGAGAAAGTTACTTCGGGTGACAAATGACTCGTTTGACGCTAAGAAGAGACTGGCGTTCGAGATGTTTATCGATTCTTCAACTCTTCCCAAAGGATATGACTTCGCACTCGACTCGGAAAGTGCTCTCTGGGTGTCGTCATCTCAGTCCTCACACCTGCGGGACTATCATGTCATGCAATACAGTA